AAGTCAAACCTCCCCATCCCTCTCTCTCTCTCATCTTTTTTACCACAGGTAAAAAGCAAAAGTAAATTTTGCCCCTCCACTCCCACACGGGCGTTTAATTTCATTTCTTAATCATTATTTCTCCAACGCACGACACCAATCAAACACTTTCCATTCATTACACATTATTAATGTGATGTACACATTAATTTTCACCACCTTATTAATATACCCAACATTTAACATACCACGTGAAGTTAGCAACACTAAACTATAGATTAAAGTTTTATTTGTGGACAAAATTTGTATTCTCTGTCGGCTCATTGGGCAATCAAACATTATAAATCAATAAAGGAAGATTTGGAGGAATGAGGAAAAGTAATTAAATTAATTAATTCTCTCAATTATATCCACCCTATCAACAATCCAACAACTAGTAGAGTAGTAGGGTAGGGAAAATGATGATTGTTATTAACTCACAAAAGATTTTATTGTGGTGTGCTTCGTCAATTAATTAACCAATTGTCTACCACACCCATTAGATTTTAAGTAAATTTCAATTTCTTGAAAATATGTTACCAAAATAAATGAACTTCTGTCATAATCGGAATATCTTCCATATATACAAGGTATTAGAAAGAAAATGGATCGAACTTGCTAAAATTAGCAGAATATATATTCTATGTAAAATGGACAAAAATTTACATAAAAATAGAAACCGTACTTTTTTCATACAAATGTGTAAAATATACCACATTCATCAATAAATGGATAACGAAAGAAATGGGAGGAATTAATTAAATGGAAAAAAAACAAAAGAAAGAAATAAATTAAAGAGGAAATTGGTACGAAAAAAGATATGATGAGTGCTTATCTTTAGAGAGTCACATCTAAGCAAACCTAACTTGAACTAATTATTTATGTGCACTTTATAGCTTATGATCGGCCACACTTAGATACTGTCTACTTGTGTGTTGTGTGTGTGCTTTTTTCTCTTTCATTTTATTTGTTTTATATAATAAAAATAGAAATAAATCTTGTTAGAGATTTTCCACTATATAATAATGAGTTGTTTGATTGAAGTTCTAAAGCTTTCGAGGAAAAAGGTGAGTAGAGTTGGATCCATCGAAGCGACTTTTTATGTGAAAATGTTTTTGAAGATGAAGATTAAGATGAAGATGGATTTTCTTTTTGATAGCTGTTGCCCATCATCTTCTTATTCTCGCTCGGTTTTAATTATTTGGTTTACGCACACTTTTTGTTCCTGTTTAGTCTATGAACTTTAATTTGTAACGATTTAGTCATTATACTTTTAAATTGATAATAGTTTAATCCCTAAAGTTTTATAATGTAACAGTTTAGTCATTATAGTTGATTTAGTTCTTACTGTGTAAAATGTTGTTAAGATTTAATAAGGTTTCTTATATGTGTAGATTGGTAACATAATGAGGAATCAAATTTAATTTTAAATTACAAACATTAAATCATTATATATAGTAAAAATCGACACTTAAATTTGGAAAAAAAAATCATGGTAGAGACTAACTAAATTGTTACAAATTTAAACGGTAAAAGATTAAATTGTTATTAACTTTAATTCATTTAAACTTATACTTCAAGCACACTGAAGAAAAGTGTTTTCTAACTTAATTATTTTAAGGAAAATTTAAGTGCATGCTAAATTTTGTCATCCGTTTTAAAAAATATCTATTAGTTTTAAATTTTTCATAGCTAAAGGGTATTTTAGGAGTTTTAAAAAGAAGATAGTTTTACAACAATACCCTTTTTTATGTCTTTTTGGTTTTTTTTTTATATTTAACCAAGTAACAAACTTTGTTTTGAATTCAAAATGATTTTCCTACGTTCAACTGATTTCAAGTTAATTAATTTAATTACTTTGTTTTGTATTTCAGTTAATTTAAATGATTTGGGTACAACGATTCGTCTCTCATCTCATCGTTCCGCGATTGTTCTACACTATCTTCTTAATGTATATATACATATTTGATTGGTATATATACCTAACCACTAATAAGTATATGCTGTTACATGTTCTTTGTATTCTTGTTTTTCTATTTCTTTATCATTTAATAAATCATCTACAACAAATGTAAATTAAAAAATCAAAGACTAACAACCCATAAATCAAAACGATTAGGAGAATAGGTGATGCCTCTTAAATTTGTAGCCTTTGGGCGTGTATCGTCAACAGATTCAATTTCTTAAACTTCTTTTGACGATGAGTTATTTTTCTTATGTTTATCGGTGGATTTATTATTCACTCTTTCATTCTCTTCATTAGACTTTGTATCGTCCTTTAAAACATTAAAAAATTTATCAAAATTAAAAAGTCAATAAATATATATATACCAATTAAAGAAAAATCAAAATTAGAATTCAATACACGTATATATCATCATGAAACTCAATTGTGTCAAATACATGTATATACCAATTCAACAATTAACAAAATACGAAAGTCAATACATGTATATACAACTATATAACTCTAATATCATAAGTAGAATGTCAATACATGTATATACCAATAATTACCTCACTAACACGTTCTTCCTCAACTATCTTGAGATCCTTTCATTTTCTTGAAATATACGAGTACAGTTAGCTCAGTGAATCTAATTTGTAAATATTAGTGTAAAAATTAACAAACAAGAAATATATAAACTACTGCATCTATACATCTTTTTCACTTTCAAAGTTGATTTTGCATGATTCCTTTTAACGTTCTGTTATACCAGTAGCTTTTAATCATTGTCGAGATGTTCATCCTCTAACTTTTACCATACCTATAGATTTTATTTAGAATTTAAGCTATATAAATATAGTAAATCTGTTGTAGTTGTAGATATATACTTCTGAGATCTAGTTATAAACAAAAGACACATGTTAGTCCCACACGTATTTTTTTTAAATATCCTAAAATATAGGGAAACCAAAAATATCTTTTTAAATACCCAAATCTGAACAAAGGGTCTTACCTTCCTCGAACAGTTGCTAGAAGATGGAAGTTGGGCGGCAGATTGGAAACATATCGAAGTGGCAGCAGGTGGATCTAGTCTGGGGCGACCGGCGGATCGTATCGGCTTGGGTGAATCTAGTCGGGCGGCGGGACGGTAGATCTGGTTTGGGACGTGGCACATCAAGCAGATATGGTACGTGTTGCAGCCAGCGGGGAGGGTGGTGGCGGTTGGGTGCGGCTGCGACGGGTCTAGTTTTTGTTCGTGGACGACGACGTGAAGGTGAGCGGCGCACGGATCTGCTTCGTGAGGTGAGCAGCGAGACGGGATGAGGTCTTGAAGGTGGGCGGTGGGATGGCGGCTTGCGGATCTACTTCGTGAGGAAGACGATGGTTGTGAGGCGCATGAAGTTGCGAAACCCTAACTTCTCTAACTCAAGTCGAGAAGTAAATGATAATTTACCTAGTAATAATCTTATTTATCCCCTTATTTTAGAATTTTAGAGGGGTAAATTTTCTACCCAATGCATTTTTAATAATGTTTTCTTAAATTAACTTTCAAATTCTGATTATCAATTTTAAATTAGATTTAAGTTAATTATTTAAATTTGATTCATTGATAGAATTGATTCCCTAAAATGAATATTTGTCTACAATTATTAATTTTAGCCATGCCTGCAATTGCCTCTTAYGAGTCTTTCAACTTTTAGCCGGTGATTGGAGTGGGCTGGACTTGCTTTGTTTGCTAACCTTGTGGCCTGTCGTGGCTTTTGCGTTTTCTCAAAGCCCATTAACTTACTTACACATCTATATGAGCTTGTACATGGCCCAATTTTGATATGTCTTTTCTTTTTCCTT